AGATGGATGGATTATGGATGGATGGATGGATGATGGATGGATGGATGGATGGATGATGGATGGATGGATGATGGATGGATGATGGATGGATGGATGATGGATGGATGGATGATGGATGGATGGATGATGGATGGATGGATGGATGATGGATGGATGGATGGATGGATGATGGATGGATGGATGTATGGATGGATGATGGATGTATGGATGGATGGATGATGGATGTATGGATGGATGATGGTTGGATGATGGATGGATGGATGGATGGATGATGGTTGGATGATGGATGGATGGATGATGGATGGATGGATGATGGATGGATGGATGATGGATGGATGGATGGATGATGGATGGATGGATGGATGGATGATGGATGGATGGATGTATGGATGGATGATGGATGTATGGATGGATGGATGATGGATGTATGGATGGATGATGGTTGGATGATGGATGGATGGATGGATGGATGATGGTTGGATGATGGATGGATGGATGATGGATGGATGGATGATGGATGGATGGATGATGGATGTATGGATGGATGATGGTTGGATGGATGGATGGATGTTGGATGATGGTTGGATGGTTGGTTGGATGTTGGTTGGATGGATGGATGATGGTTGGATGATGGTTGGATGGATGGATGATGGCTGGATGGATGTATGATGGTTGGATGATGGTTGGACAATGGTTGGATGATGGATGGATGATGGTTGGATGTTGGTTGGATGGATGATGATGGTTGGATGATGGTTGGATGATGGTTGGATGGATGGATGATGGTTGGATGATGGTTGGATGGATGGATGATGGTTGGATGATGGTTGGATGGATGATGGTTGGATGGATGGATGACGGTTGGATGGACTTACACAGTTCATGTTTTTGGTCATGTTCAGGACAACATATCCTCTTCCAGCCAGTTCACTCCAGTTTAAACAGACAACCTGAAAAAATGACAGAAGTTTGAAGATTTTTTAGTTTGTTGTTTTTGTTTGTTATTTATTTATTTATTTATTTGTTTGTTTGTTTGTTTGTTTGTTTGTTTGTTTGTTTGTTTGTTTGTTTTTTTGTTTAGCCCACCTGCCTCGGCCCCTCCAGGTTGGACTCCAGCTCGGTCTCAGTGAAGCCGGTGGTTGGAGACTGATTGGTGGTGAGAGGGATGATCTGTCTGATCCTTGTTTTCTCTTCAGGTAAAAACTCTTTATTTGATTAAAAAAGTTTGTAAATTAAATCTCTTCCTTTATGAAACCTGAGCCGACGGTGAACAGTCTGATGAATGTTCACCTTTCTGGTCCAGATCTCCTCGTTCTTCTTCCACACTGGGCTGCAGAGGTTCTCTGCTGGGAGCCGAGCCCACCTCTGGAGCTGTAGGATTCTGGGTAATCCCTCCTGATTCTTCTCTTTCTGTTTCAGCTGCAGCAACAAACCAGAGGCAGCTCATTCTCCTTTCTTTGGGCTTTATTTTTATTTAAAGCTTTAGTTTAATTTAAATCATTTTCACTTAACGCTGATGTTGAATTTAAATATCATGTTGAATTTTGGAAACAGATCCATAGTTTAAGAATTGCTATATATATTTTTAAGAGTACCTTTTGTAAAAGTTTCTGGCAGTCCAAAGTCCGTTCCGGTGTCGGTCTCTGGGGTGGTGGTTGCCACGGAGTCGCTGGAAACATCTGTAACAGCTGCACCAGCGACAGGAGATGGAGAAGCAGAGACGGAGGAGTGAAGGAGTCCATAACCACTGGAGGACTGAACGTCTCCGTCCTTCGCTGTCTCCCACAGCTCCCTCCCTGAAGGATCCACCTGTCGACAGGTGTCATCAGAGGAAATCAAACAAGCAAGAGCAACAACCAATCAACACTCACCTCCAGGACCGGGGCCCCGCGATGCTCCTGCTGACCATAATCATGGTTTTCACCCGGGAAGGAGCTGCTGAGCTCTTTGGATGTGTGGAGAGATGACGTGTAGCCTGAGGGAGACAGAGACGCAAATATGTCAATCACATGTTCAAAACTTATCAAAAACATATCTCTAATATGTAAAAACACATAAAAAGCGTGTCACAAAACATGCCAGAAACACATCAATAACATGTTAAAAACACATCAATAACAGGTCAATAACATATTAAAAACATGTCAAAAACATATCAGAAACATGTCAAAAGCATGTCAAAAACATGTCAGAAACTTGTCAAAAACATGTCAGAAACATGTCAAAATCATGTTGGAAACGTGTCAAAAACACGTCGAAACCACATTAAAAACATGTCAGAAACATGTCAGAAATAAATGAGAAACAAGTCAAAAACATGTTGAAACCAAGTCTATAGCATGTCAGAAACATGTCAAAACTGCATCAAAAACATGTTAGAAACACGTCGAAACCATGTCAAAAACACGTTAGAAACATGTCAAAAACATGTCAGAAACATGTTGAAACCACGTCAAAAACATGTCAGAAACACGTCAAAAGCATGTCAAAAACATGTCAGAAACATGTCGAAACCACGTCAAAAACAAGTTAGAAACATGTCAAAAACATGTCGAAACCACATTAAAAACATGTCAGAAACATATGAGAAACAAGTCAAAAATATGTTGAAACCAAGTCTAAAACATGTCAGAAACATGTCAAAAACATGTCAAAAATGTGTTGAAACCATGTCAAAAATGTGTAACAAACATGTTGAAAACATGTCAGAAACAGGTAAAAAAACATGTCAAAAATATGTCGAAACCATGTCAAAAACGGAAAAAATATGTAACCAACATGTCAGAAACATGTCGAAAACACGTCAGAAACATGCCTAAAACATGTCACAAACATGTCTAAAACAAGTAAAAAACATGTCAAAAATATGTCGAAACCATGTCAAATTCTGAAAAAATATATAACAAACATGTCAGAAACATGTCGAAAACATGTCAGAGACATGTCGAAACCACATCAAAAACATGTCGAAACATGTCAAAAATATGTTGAAACCATGTCAAAAATATGTAACAAACATGTTGAAAACATGTCAGAAACAGGTAAAAAACATGTCAAAATGTCGAAACCACATCAAAAACATGTCAAAACATGTCAAAAAAAATAATTTCTACAAACCAATCAGAGCGTCCAGATCTGGAGTCGTGTGGTTAACCTCTAAGACGTCTGGGACATCATGTCCATCAGTCTCTCCTCTCATTTTGTCTTCCTCTGTCCTCTCCTCTGTCTCCTCCCGGTCCTCTGCTCCTTCTTCTCCCCTGTCTCTGTCCTCTGTGTCCATGCCATAAAAGCCAGAAGCCTCCTGGGAGGTATCTCCAGCTCCTGGTCTATCAGAGGAGACCTGGTGTCCCCTGTAGCCTTCTGGACCCTCGGGGACCGCCAGATGAACCATACGCTGAAAAAAGAAAAGATCTTTGGTGGGACACAAGGATTCATTGAGACAAAACCATCAAGAGCCTTCATCGTTCCTCACCTCCATCACATCCTCCACATCAGGTCCGAAGGTCCTGGCTACTTCCTGGCTCGCTGAAGACTTCACCTGTGAGGGGACACCCGAGTCCACCTTGGTCTGGGAGCGGGACAGTTCCTGGATCTCCGGCCAGCCCATGTCGTGAACCAGGTGAGGCTGGGCTCGGACTAACTCACTGGCAGAGTGGCGTCTGGTTCGGACTAATTCCTGGATGAAGCGTGAAGTGACCGGGCCTCCGTTCCCAAACAGAGGAGCCCAGAGGGGGACTACTCGCTGGGAGGAACCCAAAGGTTCACAGCTGACCAGGAGAGCTGAAGGGAAGAGAGAAATAATCCTTTCATTCAGATTCTGTTCATGTGTTCATCAGTAATCCCTCTAACAGGACCCGTCTCTGTGGTGGTCTGTCTGATGGTCTGGACCACAGATGGCCCGTCTGACTGAAAGGATTATCTTTCATGTCTGAAACCCCAAAACCTGAACGGCAGAGGACAAACAGAGGACAGATACCGCACCCCCCCCCCAAAAAATAAATAACAAATAAATAAATAAATAGCTGAAGCGGCCATCTTGAATTTATTTGAATTCTGAAGTTCATGATGAGCAGAGATCAAGTCTAATGGTTCATGAGATGTTTTGCTAACAGACAATCCAACACTTTGTCTTGATATGAATCAGTTTGGCAGCATTTTAATAATTTTTGCTGATATTTGTTGGTTAGAAAAGCAAAAAAACATCATTATGGCTGAAATTTACACACCTTGATTATAAAGGAGCTGTTTTTAAATAATTTCACATTAAAATAATCTAATTTTTCTGAACGAAATTAAAACTGTTGTAAAAATTCAATTTATGTTTGATGATGAAACACTGTTTTAATAATCTCAATAATAAACCTGATGATGATGGTGTGTGTGTGTGTGTGTGTGTGTGTGTGTGTGTGTGTGTGTGTGTGTGTGTGACACTGCAGTGTGTGTTGCTGCGATCATTTCATTCAAACAGCTGCAGGTTCCCTCTTTAAAAACAACAATAATAAAAACAATATTATTTATTGATTCCTGCAACCTTTTAGTGACGTCATTAAACAAACTCAGTCTGATTCTTCCTCTTTGCTGGTTTTAAACTCTGCATCATTTTTGTTTTTCTCTTCACCTCCTGCAGCTGTGAGAAAGAGGAGGAGGAGACTCACCGGTCAGGATGAAGAGGACCAGGTCCCTCATGTCTGCTGCAGACCTCCGATCTGGATCCAGGATCTCACGGCCGCTTCATGTCCGGGGAGCGTGCAGGTTCAACGGGCTGTGGGGGAGGTGGGAAGCACGCACGCGCAGGCGGGTTCGTGCGTGGGAGAGGAGCAGAGAGCTGCGGACACAACAGAACCGGATCTGCTGCAGCAGAAACTGGTCCGGAACCAGCGGCTCTGCACTTCCGGTTCTGTCCACCAGAGGGCGCGCCATCCTCATTAATGATTGTAGATTAWATATAACCAGCTGCAGCTTCAACTTAATCATTCTTAACATTAAGTCGGAACATTTCTGAGTTTCTAAAGATTTATGAACTGTTTCTACAAACAACTTTTAATTATTTTATGTTTTTGCACAAGAAGTTTGACGATAAACTGTCAGCCAGAAGGAAAAACAACAAATATTTCATCATCAGAAATATAACAAACACAGCAAAAACTCATCATATTTTTATTTATTTATCTGTTTTAATGAAGCAACATTTCAGAACGTGGAAAACAAACACTGAGCAGAAAAGTTTGAAATACAAAACATCTACAGCAGGTGAATCTGTGACTGAAACAAACACGTCTTTTTTTAACATTTACATTTATTTACAACCAGCCTCACGTGACGACGGAAACAAATCTTCTGATTTCAGCTCGTTTAAAAAAGAAGAATCCTCGTCCAGAAACTCAGAGACTCCAGTCGAGTGAAGAAAATGACAAAGTTCCTCAAAGTCCAAAACCAAGACCAACCCGTGTCCCGGCCCGCTGTAGTTGGGTCCTCCGGCAGGACGATTCTTAAAACTGCTGCAGGATCAGTTTCTTTTTGCCATCGTGGCTGAACTTGTTGGAGCGGAAAAGGTCGCTGTCGTAAAACGCCGACAGGCTGTGGATGTTGATCTGCCTCGCCTGGAAGACAAGAAGAAAAACAACCGGTCAATGTGCTCACTGAAAACATTAAATATTCTGAAGGAAATTATTTTAAAAATTATTGAAAGATTGGTTTTATTTTGCTTTCAGCTGCAACATGCAGTACATCAACAACCACAAGGTGG